CCCATCCTCAGCTCCTTCCCGCAGGATTCCGTGGTGGGATCTGCTGGAGCTCCCGTCCTCGCCGCCTCTGGGGCCTCCGGGGCTTTTGGGGGATTTGGCTCTGGGGGTTATGGGGGATTTGGCTCTGGGGGCTATGGAGGATTCGGCTCTGGGGGCTATGGGGGTCTGTGGGGCTATGGAGGCTCCTCGCTGGGCTTTGGGGGTCTGGGGTCCTGTGGGGGCTCCTCCCTGGGTTACCGGGGTCTGTATGGCTTTGGGAGATCCTTTGGCTCCTGCGGCTCTCGGTCCTCCCGCTTCGGCCGCTACCGCCGTGGCAGCTGCGGCTCCTGCTAAACCCAAAGGAAAAATCCCTCAGCTCGGCAAACTACACCAGTGGATCCTCACCTGAGCTCCTGAGGATGAGGCAGAGCGTCAGAACTTCACTTCAGACCATGGAGACAGAACTCCTCTAGAAATTCTTCCTTTTGTTTCCTCCTTCCATTGTTCGGTCTCCTCTTCCCCGCCCCTTCCACTGGCCAAATGTTCGGCTCCACCATCCGCTGGCTTCTCCCTGAAACTGCTGCCTCCTGCCACAAGGCTGAGGGAGCAGCCCTAGTGAGGAACAACCTGCTTGTCTTTGCCTCCCGTGTCCTTGTCCAATGCCATCATCCCTTCTCTTGCAATAAAAAATCCTGCATCCAACACCTGTCTTTGTTTTTTCTGAAAATTCAAGTTTTCCAGAGTGGGATTCCTCCCTGTCAGAACCAGACTGAGATTCTTCAGGTCAGACTTGCAGCTGAGAGTCCTCTCTGCCTCTCACTGATTATTCCACTTGTCAGAGTTCCAGTAGTTATTCCAACTTTTTCCATCCAGTTTGGTGCTGGGATAGGGAAATGTCATGTCCCCAAGGCTGCCAGAGCTCAAGGACAGTGGTCTCAGGCACAGGGTGGGATTTCTGGGGTGCCTGTGCAGGGCCAGGAGTTGGACTCAATTCCCGTGTGGCCCTTCCAACGCAGAATATTCCATAGTTTTTTTTTTAAGTTGTTAATTTAGTGCTGGAATTCCTTTTGATTTAACATCTTCCAGGCAATGCATTAGGAATCATCCAACTGCCTTCAAAGACAGAGCTAAAAAATACCGCCTGAAGTTCTGCCAAAGCACGTTCTGAAAAGGAATGATAGGAGGAAGGAGAACAAAGGGAAACAATTTTTGAGATAGGTATCTGATGAGCAAAGATGAGGCACTACGTTCTCTTTTTTCGCTAATCACTGCCGTGATAAAGTTGCCTCGGGGAAGGTTTGGCTGAACCTGTCAACAGGTGAGGCAAAAAGAACATGGACCAATGCATTAGAGAGGATTTACCTCTTCCTTCACCGGGATTCTCTCAAAGAAATTATCTTGATCTGTGTCAAGGAGCAGCAAATCTTATTTTTTACGGGTAATTTCAATATTCTTCCTTGTATTGGACTGGATCTGTCAGATGGCTGTAAGTAATAAATTGAAATCGAAATACGTCCATGGGACCTGTGAATGCTGCTTTTATTTTCACAAAACAAGACTTACTTTTTATGGGTAAACAAACACTTATTTGAGTATATTTTCACTAAAAAAAATCCACAGAATTGTTTAGGTTGGAAAAGAGCTCTGAGATCATCCAAGCTGGATCCCCACCTGGTCACCAAGCCCAACATCCAGGAGTTCCTTGGACATCTCAAGGGACGAGAATTCCAAAACTTCCTGAGCCCCTTCCAAGGTCTGACTGCCCTTTCCAGGAGGAAATTCCCATGTCCAACCGGAACATCCCCTGCTGCATCTCCAAATCCCTCCCCTGGCATGTTCTCCTCTCTCTCCTTTCTTCATCCTTCCTGTCTCCTTTCCTCTCATCCAGCTCCTGGAACAACTTTCCAAAACGCCGATGCTTTTCCCTCCGTTTCTCTTCTGATCTTTGCTTCCATCCACAGCCACCAAGGGGTGCTTGGGTATAAATCATGAGCCCAGCCGAACACCTGAGCTGTGACTGCCAAATTTCACCTGATCCTCTCAGCCTGGCCGTGCCAGGCAGGGAGCAGCCTAATTAACTGTTGTGTCAGACAAGTGCTCAGCCCAAGATAACGCCCCAGAAGAAAGCCATTAGCACTTAGGGAGCAATGATTACACAGCTTTAATTTGGGCTGGATGTCTGCTCGGAGTGAGCTCATGTCTGATTGCCAAACCCAGCAAAGGGCTGACCTTTCTCTCAGTGTCTACTCAGGAGTTACGGGGTGGAGGGAGTTCACCCCATTCATTACTCAAGGATCCCTAAAAACCTCTAATTATTCATCTCCGTTCCTGACATTGGCACATGTTTTGGGAGCCCTGATAACAGGAAGCTGAGTGGCGCTGAGCAGGAGGGAATCAGAGTTTCAGACTGGAAAAACGGGGTGGCTGAACTGCTGGGAGCAGCAGTAACGGAGTGACCATCATGGGACAGGGCAGAGCTGGGTAACTGCTGACTGTGGGGAAAGGAGATGGTGCAATGGCAAGGAAACTTTCCTGTGCCACCTTCCAGGAGCCACCTCAGCATCCCAGGAACCAGGAAAACTCCTACAACATCACTGAGTCCAATCTAGGACCAATCTCCCTGTTGTTAACCAGCCCAGGGCACTGAATATCTCATGCAGTGGAACCATCTGAGCCAACATTGGTTTCAGTGACCATATTCCAAGCAGAGTTTCAGACCTGTCAATGGTTAAAATAATTTAATCACAGTGCATAAATAGAATTGCAGCACTAGATGGCGCCTCCAAGGAGGGACAAACAAAGGTCACGTTGGGATTTTGAACCCTCAAAGCCTGGAGACATCAGTTCCTGCTGTGATCATGAGTGTGCCAGAGGTCCCTGAGACTTTTACATGCTCTGGAGTGAATACACTGAAAACATGAAGTACCCGAGAGTCATCGTAACATAAGTCAAACTGTAAATCCAAGGGAAAGAGCACACCCAATTTCCCTTTCACTGGAAACATGCCCCTGCCTGTCTGACAGACAGAGTGAATCCAGGAAAATAGATTGGAAATAATCCTGAGTAAAACAAGGGGTAGAACATGAAGCGATATGAACAAAGAGGAAATCACCTGAACTCTCAATGAGGTAAAAACCGTATGATGCTACCAGGTGAAAAACGGAGGAATCAGAATCAACCCTCAAGGTGATAAGGGAACAAAATTCCAGAAAAATACACAGAGAGACAGGAATTGAATGCAGGAAAACTTTATTGTACCAAGAAGGGCAGGAAAGGCAGGAAGGGGCATA